TCTCAGTCATAATATATGGCATGTTTTTTCTTAATTGCATAGATTAACAATATGTTTTAATTGCATAAATTACAACATATGTCAATTTATGTGAAACATATTTATGTTAATTTACGTGAAAATATTTATATTGAAAAAGGCAAAGCGACAGCCCCTCCTTCTGCTGGAGAATAGACACCTTGACTCACAACCTGATGGTATGTGATTCTTATTTTAAAAGCAAAAGTACATAGTAATATAGGCAACAAATATAATACAAATGAACTGTAACATCTGCTTCCACTGTGGGAATGGTAGATGGGCAGACAGTGGAGAGTTATTCTGGTTTTTATCATTTCACTTAAGGCTGAGGAATGTGGGAATAGGTTTCTATAAAATCTAAATTGAGAAGTTAGGTATATTCAAAAGGACAAGAGTGATAAGTATGTCCTAAAATTCTATGCCCTTCAACTGCCTCCAGCCTCTGAGAAAAGTCAACGAATACAAAAAGAAAAAGAGAATTCTTTAAAAATTATTCATAGGCAGGGTTCTGTGACATTTACTCTTTCTTTCTCCTGGGAAAGGAAATGTCCCCTCTTTCAAGATAAGTGGGACTAGCGTCAGAACTCCTTAGGAAGTCAGGAAGAACTTGCTAGAAGGTGAGACAGAGACACTTTTCTCAGTTGAATGCTTGCTGCACTGCAGAGGAGAGCTCTTGGGGGAAATCTAATCTCTGTGCCCCAGAGTTTGGGGCATCTGAGTCTTGCCTAGAAAGATCTGAGGGAAAGGAGCACCCAGACCACCTCTGTTAGCAGAGTGAGGAGATACAGCAACAGTGAGAGGGAGCCTCGCTTGGTTTGGGTAGGGAAGCAAGCCGGGCTGGATGCCTGTTCTAATGCGGCACCGTCCAAGCTGTAATCTTGGCGCGGGGAAGAGAGGGTGCAAGTGAAAAGCTCAGGTGGTCAGTCTACCATCTTTGATCAGAAACAGTATACTTCTTTTGCTAGAATAATAATTTCTAGAATAATTTATAAGTTGGCTTCTAGAACAAGTTAGACTCGCGACTCCCCTGGTGGTGCAGGCGGTTGAGCGCTGGGCTGCGAAGCTGCGCAACCTCTGCAGCACCGGTTCCATCCCAGCCAGCCGGAGAGGGTCCCACATGGGGAGCAGACCTCTTCTGTCTCGCCCGCTGCTCCCCTCAGCAGTGTATTTCCTCGGTCTGCCTTTTCTGCTCCCTGCTCTGGCTCTGGTGAATCCTCTCACTCTCCGGCTCATCTGACCTGTACCCCGTTTCTTGTATAGATAAATAAATCTTAAAAAAAAAAAAAATACAAGCCAGACTCAATGGCAACAAAGCAGGACATAAATTCATTTTCTTCCTCACTGCCTGTCCAATTTTCTTCTCACTCCCTTGTTTGATATCTGGGGAAATCACATAGCCTCTCAATCAATTTCAATGATTAAAACAGTCCAGTGTTCACGTATTTTATAAGTCTCATCCTACCTAGCATTTTACTTGCTATTTTTGTTTGTTTTTTTCTAGACTTACTGAATATTGACATATAACATATGTAAAACTTGATGTTTTGATTCACATATATACTGCAAAATAATTACACAATAAGGTTATTTGATACCTCCATCCCCTTGAACAATTACTATTTTGGGGGAGATAACTTTTATAAACAGATTTAATACAGTATTGTAATTATAGTATCCTCCTGTGCATTGTATGCCCAGGTCTTATTTATTTTACAGCTGGATGTTTATATCCTTTGACCAACATCTTCCCATTAAAAACCAGCTCCTGGCAACCAACATTATAGACTCTATTGCTTTGAGTTCTACTTTTTTAGATTCCTTAGACATATAAAAAGATGCACTACTTGTCTTTCTCTGTCTGACTTATTTCACTTAGCATAGTGCCTTCAAGGTCCATCCATATTGTAAAATATGTTTATCTGAGGATGTTAAGCTATAGGGGCATTTTTATTCTTTTCTTCATTTTATTTATCATTGTTTTCTGGATTTTCTACAATGACTATTGTAGTACTCCATTATATTGGTAACTCTCAATGACTCTTCCTGATATTTAGAGCCTGTACAGTTCCTTCCCCAAGAATCTGGTCTGGCCCTGTGATTCACATAACTGACAGGAATCAGGAAGAGTCCTGAATACTCTACAGTCCTGACCTTCGGCTCAAGAAAGCTGTTCAGCTTTTGTGTTCTTAGGAACCACCATGTAAGAAATATAAGTATAATGCTGGAGACACCATGGGCAGAGACCACATGGAAATATCAACCACATAGTCTGTATTTTTAAAGTCACACACATACATATATGCATGCATACATGTGTGTGCACATGTGATTTGGGGAATGCATCTGAATAAGGCAGGGTGTGTGCCTGTGAGGTTCTCAGCATAATGCAGTGTTAAGCTCCAAGTCAGAGTCCCTCTCTACTAAGTACTTGATAATTTCTGCTTCTGATCACTATGATGGCCATCCAGTCACTCAGTAAGAACTGGAAGCTGTGCTTTGATAAACTGTAGACTGCTGGAAACCCAGATCAAAACTCCTCCTGGTCTGATTTCTGAACATTTTGTAGCCATTCATCCTTATGGACTCTCTTCAGCCTGGAGGCAGAGTTACCATCCCTGAGAATCCAGAGTCACCAATCATTCTATGGGCCATCAATTATCAGTTTGAATACTGAGCACCTCAGCCTGGAAATCATTTGGCAAAAAAAAAAAAAAAAAAAAGGTCATGTGATCTTTCTGCAGAGAAACAACTGATCAATTCATTGATTTTTTTTTTTTTTTTTGGTCAGAGATAACAAAACCAAGAGTTTTACAGTTTTATATCCCCAAAAAGCATTTCCTCCACCCCTCGGTCTTCTTCAGTTTATAAAGAGCCTCTACACACAATATGGTATGTCATCCTTTAGTTTTGTAGGGTGTGCAGATCTGGTTTAATAGCTTCGTTATACAGAAATGATAATGCAGGACACTGATAGCATTTGTCTGACAAGTGCTGACTAAGTGCAGGAGCCTTGGTATGATGCCATTTAAACCTTATAGTAACCCTGCAAGATCATACATGATACCCATTTCATAAAGGAGCTGCTGAAGTTCAGACACCATAAGTATTTGACTTACATCAAGCTGTCTAGTTATAGATGGCAAATTCAAACCAAGGAATGCCTGGCTCAAAAGTTCTTTGTTGTCCTTTCTGTTTTGCTAGCCAGGGCATGTAGCAAAGATGAAGTCCAGCAAGAATTACAACTTGCTGCCCCTCATCCTGGTGCCCTTTCTACTATCCCTCAGCAGCTTTCCTTCCAAAGTGCTCAACACAGATTCTTGATTATAAAACTAGAACTTAAAATTAGCCCTAACTCTGTTGTTTCCTTAATTCTTCAAAAGAATCTGGACCACACTCGTGGCTTCCCCACCTCCAGGACAGGCCTCTTTTCCTCTAAGAAACAGGACAAGGGTGGGATAAAATTCCACTGGGGTTAGAAAACATCTTGAAGATTTATCCAGGACAATGTTCCAACTATAATTCCCTTTGATGGATCAATTACATATAGATTAATCTATCTATCATGGATAATCATACACATCTTCTCTGAAACAGATACTCATTTTCATAAGTAGATAGAAATATCACTAAAATTTCTCTCTATTCTATTCTTTCAACTCTCATGTCAGGAGTGCGATGAGACCCTTACTCCACTAGGATGAGTAGAGGCTGCAGGGATTTGGGGGGTCACTGTGAATCTGCCACACAGATGTTGGCACCTGATTCTCCAGGCTTCAGATTTGTGAGGAGCAGGGAGCTGTATGCCTTGTCTTTGTTCAGATGCTATGAATATCCTCTCCTTGCTTTCTTCATTTGAGAGTGAGGAAATCAGAAACCCTAGGACATTGTCTATACCATGTAAAGTATAGAAATGGTGATTTTTCCTAAGCGCAGTTGAGGGAAGAACTGGCTATGTCCTGAACATTCCGTGACCTGGGGCTCTGCCCCCTTCATCAGGCTCTTTATCTCTGTTTAGAAAGATACCAAGTAAAGGAGATGAGCTTATGGCCTCTACTGCTCTACAGTTATTTCTTTTTCCATAACACCAATCCCCTTCCTAGCCCTCAAATGAGCTAGATGAAAATTGTCTCCCATTTCATGATCCAACCCTATCAGTCTCAGCAGAAAATATCATCAAATATTGCTTTCCTTGTTGCCAAAGTCAGCCCCCAAGCCCTCCAACCAAAAAAAAAAAAAATTAACAATATTATTCTCACAGTCCTGATGAAGTCACAGGAGAACTGGCGAGAGTCTCAGGAGTTTTGCTATGATTCCTGACTCCCTTGGGGGCCCCAGAGAACCCAACTCGGAAAAATGATAATCACCCAGAGTCTCTGTGTCTCTGCTTCAGATATTGCAAAATTGGTCTATAACATCAATCAGGAAAAAACTCCCCTGGCTCCTCCTCCTCTACCACCATCTCCATTCTCCTTGCCACACCATCCACAGCAGGGCAGTGGGGCAAAAGACGAGAGTTAGAGGAGCAACAGAGTGAGAGACCTAAACTCAAAAGACGTGGAAAAGATCCTTTATAGGTGCTTGAAAATGACCAAAGGAATGTTCAAATTTGTGTGATGATTAATAATCTCACACTTAGGCTAAATTTTTTTCAGAAGTTGAAAAGCATGTTGTCCATACTGACTGAGGGTAGTGCGTGCATAAGTGTGTATAATGTGTTTGTGTGTGTACACAGAAACTGAGGAACACCAGTGAGCAAAGCAACAATAGTATAAACACCTTAGATTGTCTCATTTTGAATAATTGAGCAGCTCATGGGCTGTGAGAAGATACTGCACTATATGCCTTTTTTATGCTTTTTGAATGTTAGACCATGTAAGTAGAATATTTATTTAAAAGTAAGATCAAAATGTCTTAAAATAATAACAGGATACAGGGATTTGCTCTTAACCTTGTGAAAATAAAAGAATAAAATGAACATTTCAAAAGCATCCCTTGGGCTCCCCCTGGCTGTGCCCCCAGCCTGGGGGGATCCTGCACAGGTGCAGCCCTGTCTGTGTCACTGTGTCACCCACAATGCAGTAGTACACAGCCGAGTCACTCAGTGTGGTCGGAGGCAGTCTCAGGGTGCTGGTCTTCCTGTCCTCAGGAATAAACAGAGATGCCACTTTATCCACCACCACATCGGTCTTATATCCTTGAACAATAAATCGTGGCCCCTGGTTGGGGGGCTGCCGGTACCAGTAGATATACTCATTTGTAGCAATGCCAGTGTGGTTACAAGTTATGTTCACTGCTTGTCCTTCATAGGAGTCAATGGAGATGGGCTGAGTGGTCTTAGAAAGGCTCAAAGTTGCTGTGGGAATAAAAACACAATACTCACTCCTCTCCTGAAGCCAAGGTGAATTGAAGGTCCAATTCAGCACTCTCCAGGTTTTCTCTCACAATAAATCCACCCACATCCTATTCCCTCACCATCCACAGGCATATATGATTTACTGCTCATTTGCGTTTCAGAACAAAAAACACATATAATTATTCCAAGGAATCCTAGGAACAGATGTACAGGGACAACAGGGCTAATTTCTCCCTTCCACGGATGGGCCTCAGTAACCCAGAAGATCTCTATTGCCAGAGACAACCCTCACACAAATGCCTAGGAACGACCTGGAGAAAAACAGCACCCCAGAGCCATCCCTCGACATCTTGGATAGGAGCTATCTATGGTAGAAAGCAAGGTTAAAGTGACCATCCAGGCGCAGATCCCAATTCCTCTAACTTCAAAATATCTCACCCAATGCCAGAAGCACAGTCAGTCTTGTCACCAGTCTCATATTCAAGGTGCAAACCAGAACCCAGGTCTCGGCCCTGTTGCTGAATCTCAGCCTGTACTGGAACACAAACCAGGGAAGAAGCAAGACCTGTGGAGCCCACATCAGCAGCCCGCCCCGCCCCCTCTCCCCCAGCTGTACCCAGAGGCAGCCAATAGCAGGACTGCAGCTCCACAGAAAGAGCTTCCTCTGCAAGTTAACTGAACACTCAGAAGGAAACTAGAGGTAACAACTTTATCCACAGTTTAAATCTTTACTAAGGTCTAGCCCCTGACATACTGGGCATGAGTAAAGCTGATACATGGGAAGGTAGATGCCATTACACTTCTGTTCCCCAGGCTTTCTTACGGTCGCAGAAGGTGGTCATCTATTGCAATCAGTCTGACACAGAGTTCTGAAAACAATCCCCCATTAGTCCCAGATAGCCAGAAGAAATAGGGAATCGCAATCTTATTCCACAAAACAGCCAAAGAGGCAGCATGAAATGCACCTTTCATCCCTGACATCTGGGGTCCTTTTACCATTTCACTAAGTGCACATCTAAAATCTGCTTCTTAGATCTCACTTAATAAACAGGGGAGCAGACCCCTCACCTGTACCGACCGACCAGCTCAAGGGAGACATTTGAGGTGTAGCCATTCACCTCACCAGGGAGGAAGAGAGGTGAAGAAGGCAAAGGTTCCGAGACCGACAGACTTAGACCCTAGTTGTAGAAACTGCTCTGCCATCTTGTACCCTTGAGCAATCCTTTGGGTCTCAGTTTCTTCATCTGTAAAACAGGGACAATAATATTTCCTTCAGAGTCAGCCTATGGCATATAATCAATAGTAACTTGTAGTTCCTTCCCATTCCCTTCCTCTCATTTGAGTCAATTGCAAAACACCTTGGCCAGCATAAAGCAGTTGTACAAAAATATATATGTGATTTAAAAAGAAAAAAAAAACCATTTACTCATTCTTTAAGAAACTTCCAATATAAACTCAATGGCAGTGACAAAAAGCTTTGGAAAACAGTCACTGAGGAAAAGAGCCAAATCCAAAAGACACTATAATGTTAATTGAACCAGCCAACTGCAGGGATTAAAACAAGTTAGTCCCATTAAAGTGGAAAAGATAGAAGTGTGTTGTTTGAGGGTTTTGCTTATATAACATGGGAACAAGAAGTCTCTAGGAACTATCTGGTGGGTACCTCTTCTAGGTCCAAAATGGCCCAATGTATTGTCAGTGAGCAATTTTTCCACTTTTCATGCAAAACATCTATAAATTCTGATGACTTCTAATTACATACTGACAGAATAGATATTACAATAGATATTACAATAGATATTACAAATAGATATTACAAAATAGATATTACAAATAGATATATCACAGAATAGATATACAAAGTATGGAATAAATATCTAGTTTGCACTCACTATCAAATGGAAGAAAAATGAAGTAGTTATGACAGCTAAAGATGTTGAGACACCTTTTACAAAAACAAAGCATGAAAGGATTAAGCTTAGATTTAACTCATTGCAACAGCGACCCCTTGTGGTAATTATACTTGGACAGAAGAAATTTCTCAGAAGTTAAGTCTCAGATTCATGCAACTTACAGAACATCCTATCTCTCTGTTAAATGCAGTAGCAGTTAGTTCAACTTGGTCACAGTTTGTACAATGGTAGAAACACTGAGCAAGTCAGACATGTAGGCAATTCTTTCCACTTGCTGGTTGTGCAATTTTGTGCAAATTACTTAGCCTGTAAGAGGCGGTTTCTTCATCTCTACAAAAGATTATAGGAATCAGTTAAAGGAGTATGAGAATATTCTTTCTAAACTGCAGTGTTCTGTACAAATACAAACTATGTTTAACGTAGGACACATCATAAGATCAAAATGATCTTATCTTTTCAAGCCAACAAGCGCAACTTGACGTTTCTGTTTTGGCATTTATCATCTCCCCTAGGAGAGTATTACAGGATAACAAGCAACTGGAGAGAGAAACACTAGAATTTTTCCCATGTCTTAGCGTTTGGAATGAAAGTGGTGTGTTGTGGGTTGAATTGTGTTCACCCCCTCAAAAAAAAATACAGGTAGATGCTAGAATCCTAGTTCCTAGGACCTCAGGATTTGACCTTATTTAGGGATAGTTCTAATAAAGTTGAAATTAGGTCATTTGGTTGGACTCTCATCCAGTATGAATGGTGTCTTGTAAAAGAAGGGAAATTCTGACAGAGACAGACACAAATAATAGGGAAACAATGTGATGACACACAGGAAAAGATACCTGTCTACAAACTGTGGAGAGCAGCCTGCAACAGATCCTCCCTCACAGTGAAAACCACTGCTGACACCTCAATCTCAGACGCTGAGCCTCCAGAACTATGAGACAATAATTTTGTTAATTCACCCAGTTTGTAATACTTTATATAACACTATAGCAAATTAAACATGATGCTAATAATTATATATTACATATGTACTTCTTTGAAAAGTATTTTTTCTTTGCTATAATTTATTTCAATTTCGTAAATGTTAATATTGTCATTTAAAAATATTTTTTAAATTTATTATTGAAGTAACATTGGATTATAACATAAAAGTTTTATAAACAACCAACCCAAGCCTCTCATTTGCAACCCAGAGAGTCAAAATCTGAACCACAGTCTTTTCACAAAGGAGTTTATTATATGAGGTAGTCACCAGGGAATCGACAATACTAATACCCTAAGATAAGCCAGCTCCCCAAATGGTGGGGCTGCTGTGATTATACAGCATGGAGGAGTGTGAGGAGGTGTGGACATGAAGGAAGTGAGGGGCTTTGCACTCCCAGGTAAGGAAGGTAGGGCAGTATAAAATCAAGAGTTACATTGTTGATGGTCTTAGGCAGGAATGTTCCTTCAAGGTTCACAACCCATAATGGAAAACCAGCAGATGCATGTCCTGGTGTTATCAACCTGGGAGGGGCACAGAGACTTTAATAGAGATGTAACACAATTAGTTCTCAAGGTTCAGGGGAATGCAATTGGAGAAAGTTGGAGAATAAATTGGGGAGGTTGGAGGAGAGAGGGAGAGAGAAGAACCACAGTTGGCAATGAGGGAGGAAGGGAGAACTAAGGGCCCTTCATATTTGATTCTGCTTAGCTCAACTCTTCTAAAAGATTTTAAGCTACAAAATGAAAGGAATCTGACTATAGTGTCAGATGTGCACCATTAAAACTCAGCATGTGGATATATTACGTTAGGTTCATCAATAAAATCCCTTGGTTCTATAACCCCCCCAATGTTCACTCTGAACTCGGACATGCCTTAAATGCTAAGCAGGCGGCAGGTTATACAGGCGGCGGCAGCGGGGAGCCTCTGTCTGCCACACAGGCAGGTAGGCGGCAGCAGCAGCAGCTCCAGGGGTCCTTTGTCCACTCTTTTTATACTGTTCAAGGACAAAGCCTGCACAGGGCCAGTTATGTGCTCATAGTCACATAAGGATGCATTTTCGAGCATTCAGAGTACATTCAATATACATTCAAGGTTGTGGGCTGTAGGGTAAATGGAATTATGCCATTAACCCCTGTGGCCATCACCGGAGGCCTTGATCATGTTAATGCAGAAGGCGCTTGGGAGCATGGGCACAGGGAATGTGTGTCTGACTGTGGACACCTGGAGCATCGGTGTGGGCGTGCGTGAGTGTGCACACCTGAGCCTGGAGGCCAGGGACAGAAGGATGGTTACAGGAGGAGGAGAGGTTCCAGAAGACCGTGACCATGAGAGTATACCAGAGAGAAGGTGTAAAGATTTGCTGGAGGCTGGGGAATTTGGTCACTGTCAGCTTCTCAGTCCCCCAACCCCCTGCCTGCCCTGTGCCTGGTTGCGCCACTATACAGACTACCTGCTGAGTCTGCTGAACCTGCAGGAGATGAAAAAGAACCTGAGTTACTTCATATTCCTCTAGCACCACACCCTTTACCTGATTTACCCATCTCCTGTCCTCCATCCCGCTGGTAACCACTAACTGACCTTATAGTTCAAAGGCTTTTTGTTTGTTTATTTGATTCATCCATTTGTTTTTCTCTATCTATTACACCTGAGGAAATCATAGTGTTTGTCTATCTCTGTCTTACTTATTTCACTAAGCATAATTCCCTCAATGTCCATTTATGTTGTTGCAAATGGCTTATCTTTTTCATTGTGTATATATACAATATCCTCTTTATCCAATTATCTGTCATCAGGCACTTAGGTTGTTTCCAGCTCTTATTGTAAATTCTACTACAGTAAACATTGGAGTGCATACATATCTCCAAACCAGTGTCTTTGTATTTTTGGCAAACACTCAAGAGTAGGATAACTGGATTGTTAAAAAAAATTATAAAATTTCTATTTTTAATTTTTGAGATCTCTCTATGCTATAAAAAATCATTTTTTGAGTTCAAAAAGATCTGGATAGGGCCTCCCCTGGTGGCACAGCAGTTGAGCGCTGGGCTGTGAACCTGCCCGCAGCCTCTGCAGCGCCGGTTTGATCCCAGGCTGCTGGGGAGGGTCCCACATGGCGCCCAGACCTCTCCTGCCGCCCGCTGCTCCCCTCAGCAGTGTACTTTGGTCCTTCTGCCTGCTCTGCTCCTGACTCTGGCTCTGGTGAATTCTCTCACCCTCCCGCGCTTCTGACTGTACCCAGTGCTTGTATAAATAAATAAATAAATCTTTAAAAAAAAATCTGGATAAACACAGTAGTGTATTACATGCATTAATGTTATGCACATTGTAGTAAAAAAAATCAAACAATTATTAAAGTAAGTTTTAGAAAGCCCCTGAAGTTAAGAAAATCCTGTCCTATTGCAAGAGCCATCTACCAGAAGAATATTTAAAATTGTTTAAAGTGGGGTTTTTTCTTATTGCTAAAATAATGAATTCTAAATACAGAATTTGGAAAATTATAAAAATAAAAATCATGTGTAATGTCATATCCCAAAAATACCTTTGATAATATTTGGGTATATTTCTTTTCAACCATTTGTCTACAAA